CTTCGTGATCCGCCGGCCTCGGTCTCCCAAAGTGCTGGGATTACAGGCGTGAGCCACCGCGCCCAGTCCCAATGTTTTGTTTTTAAGATTCATTCAAGTTGCTGCTTGTAGCTAGTAGCTAATTTGTTTATATGGTATTCTGCTATATGTTAACCCACTCTTGATGGCCATGTCTCTTTTTAAATTGGAAAAAATGTATCCCTTTCAAAAACATTAAAATAAATACTAAAAAGTCAAAAACAAAACAAACAAACAAAAACAGGAAATAAGATGCCTGTGAAGAATGCATTGCTTGTGTCTGCAGACTATTTAAATGACAAGGTATCAGTCCTTGGAACTCCCTGTTCTAATAGGAGTATAGAGCTTGGCTGATCACATTCCATTTGATTTGCTATGACGTTTATCTGTACCCTTTCTTGGTGGTTTGTTTTTTCAGATTACCAGTTCCTTGCATGTGATTGAAGGGTTCTAGTTGCTTTAGAGGCAGCCCGGTCCCCTTGCCTTCATCCTGCCAGTTAAGAACATTCAGGGCACTTTTGTACTAACAGGTCTCAGATTTCCATTTCAGGACATTTGGGCATAGGCCTTCATAGGAGAGTTTCCTCACATACCTCAGGCTGTTGACAACATGACTTGCCCTTTGCAATCCACTTATTCTGGACATAATGTAAGTGACAGTGATAATTCTATGTTATTCATCTTCCTTGTTAGGCTTTTGTTCCTGAGTCTATTTGTGGCTCAATTTTGTAAATGAAGAAAGCCATTTTCTTTTTCATGTCTTAAGCCTGGCTGAGAGAACATTTCTCAGCTTCTGTTGACACATCCATTTAACTGTCCACCTAGGAAAGCTTGGAGATCCTGATACAGCAGCACAAAACATCAGTGCACAGTCCCATGAGAAAACCTCAGCTGCTCAAGCCTCACTCTCTAAGATAGTTTTCAAGAGTATTAACAACTATCTCATTCCTTCCTACAGAAAAGAAACAAGAAAATTTTTCCAAGAGTGGTAAAACATTCTACTTCTCAAACATTTCTCTAAGTTTCTTTTCCTTTTTGTTGTGTATTTCACAGGCAGGTTTCAATTCTGAATAATGAGCATACGTTTGTCTCTTGAGACCAACCTGAGTTGCAAAGACTCCTTTTTAAGCTTCTCTGCTTAAAGCAATCAACTCTATAAATTATCCATCTCTTACTTGATATGCATTTTCTAATAGGTAGTCTAAAGCCATCCCATATGAATACTCATTTTCACACTAAAGGTGGAAAAAACCTAAAAGCCTTTCTTTTTTTTTTCTTTTTTTTTTTTTTGCCAAGAGGCAGATATTCTTCTGTTGAAAAGCCTGTCTATTCCTGGTGGGAAGTTTTATTTCTATCTTCAGAAACATCATTTTAAATTTGCGTAATCAGTTCAGCAAACTGCTTCTTATAGTGATAAATAAATATCAAATTAAACTTGCAATTAAAATTTACTAAAAATATAGGTTGCTATAATTTTGTTGGTGATAAAAGTACAGAAGTAGAAATGATTAATGATGATTACTAATTATGCAGCTGTGTTCAGAGCACACAAGTCTATGGAGCTATAGCTTTTTAGCTAAATAACGATGTTATTCCAGGAAAAACTTTTGTATATAACATCTAAATGCAACTCATTTCTAGTCAGAACAAACACCCCCATCACCTCATAACGCTTAGCTTGACAAAGAGAACCAGAAAAATAGAACACTAGAATAATCGTTTCATATCCTCTTTTGCTTATTCTTGGTTTTTGTTGTTGTTGTTGACTGTTAGAGTTTCTAAGAAAAAACGCCATCAGTGTGAGAAATTATCTGGTATTAATTATAGTGAAGACAGGAGTAGCTTGTTAAAATTCTGACTTCTTTCTTTCCTAAATTTTGTATGTCCTGTCTTGGCATTTCATATTGAAAATAACTTACTGGTGCCAGGCGTGGTGGCTCATGGCTGTAATCCCAGAATTTTGAGAGGCTGAGGCGGGAGGATCACGTGGTCAGCAGTTCGAGACCAGCCTGGCCAACATGTTGAAACTCCATCTCTACTAAAAATACAAAAATTAGCCGGGCATGGTGGCACGTGCCTGTAACCCCAGCTACTCAGGAGGCTGAGGCAGGGGAATAGCTTGAACTTGGGAGGCAAAGGTTGCAGTGAGCCAAGACCCCATCGTGGCACTCCAGCCTGGGACAGAGCGAGACTCTGTCTCAAA